TTGTAATTTGTATAAATCAGCTACAGACCCTAGTTGTAATTTGTATAAATCAGCCACTCTTTTATCAAATGAGCCAACTTATCCCTCACCTCTATAATGTTTCAGCAAGCTTTTTATGTGTCACTTTCTCAAACACTTTCTGAAAATCCAGATACACTAGATCTACATCCTTCTCTTCATCTAACTAAGTAGTAAACTCTTCAGAAACAACAAAAGATTAGTGAGAGAAGGTTTTCTCAAAGTGAAACCATGTTAACTAACCAAAAAAATTCTAAACTTTGTTAAATGACTTTGTAAGGCATCTTTTATTATACATTCTAAAACTGTTCCCACCACTAAGAAAGACAACAGATCTATAATTACTGAGACAATTGTTGTCACGTTCCTTGGAAAGAAGAATAACATTAACCAACTTCCAATCCTCGGACAACTGTCCACTGTTCAATAATCTACAAAATATAGTAGCAAGTAGATCACATAGCCAATCCTTAAGTTCCTTCAAAACTCTTGTGAAAATATTATCTAATCTAAGAGCCTTATCATTCTTTGTACTTCCAAATTCTTTTTTATAACAAGCTCTGAATTCATATGATAATCTTAGTTTTCAGTTGGAAACTGTTCGAGATGAGTAATATTGTTTAAATATTCTTTATAACTGAGCCTTTATTTATCATCCTTCAAAGGCCCTACTCACATTTTTACTCTTAGTGTATTTAAATAAATCCTTACTGTTCATATTTTACATTTTCAAACAACCTTTTTTCATAAACCCCCTTTTTGATTTCTTAATTCTTCTTTAACCAACACTCAATCTTCTACCATCCTCCAAGTCTCCTATAGCAGTTAATTTAAACTTCTTAAATATATAATGCCTTTCTTTAATTGCATACCCTTTATAAACCAACCTGATTTTTCTACTTGCAGCCAGCCTTTTTTCTGTAAGAAACATGTCTATCTTTAATATTTAAAATCCAGCAAAACATCAAACGTAATGAGTAACAACCACTTGCATCCAGATGGTCCCCAATCTCAACCCTAGTAACAATAACAATAAATCTAAACTAGCATTGTTTCTAGTGGATTACCTGACCAATGGTGAAGAAAACCATCTTAAACCATTTGCACAAACCTGTCCCCTTATAATTTGACTAATACTTCCCAAACTACAAACCTGTCCCCCCCTTATGATTTGACTAATACTTCCCAAACTACAAACCTGTCCCCCCTTATGATTTGACTAATACTTCCCAATCTACAAACCCATCCCCCTTATGATTTGACTAATACTTCCCAATCTACAAACCCGTCCCCCTTATGATGACTAATACTTCCCAATCTACAAACCCGTCTCCCTTATGATGACTAATACTTCCTAAGCTACAAACCTATCCCCCTTATGATGACTAATACTTCCCAATCTACAAACCCCTGTCCCCCCTTATGATGATTAATACTTCCCAATCTACAAACCTGTCCCCCTGATGACTAATACTTCCCAAT